CTTCCACCTACTTATGATTTTTCTTCCTCTTTATGTGTACATGAAGCTCTTTATTATGAGCTTTAGGTTGGGTTGGTTGAGCATCTTTAAGTGGGATATTTTTATGCAGTGGTATCTGGGAGACAGGAGGGATAGGTTTAAGAAGAATAGGTTGTAAGTTGGCATTTAGCTCATCCCAAAATTAATGTTCACTTGCACTCTCCTTGAACACTAGGTTTACTATAGTATGATTGATTTTCAAAAATTGTGACATCCATGAAGTTGTAGTACTTTCTAGGAATAGGTTAGTAGTACTTCTAGCTCTTTTTGTTGGAGGCATACCTAAGAAACGTACACTTTATGGGTATAGGGTTGTGCAAGTTGGGAAATGGATGTGAACAAAAGATGCTCATTAAAAAAATTTTAAGCGATATAGTTGAAGAGAAAGCTCCGATTTAGACAAATGTATTCATCAAGATATGAAGTGGTGTTTTGAAATTAAGTACAGACTAGAAATTTGATTGATATGGTATATTGCAGTAAGAATTGCTTCCCCTAAAAATATTTTGGAACTTGATGAGAAATTATAATTGAGTGGAATATCGAAAGATGTTTGTTTTTTTTCTCCGCTATCGCATTTTGTTGTGGGATATCAATACATAAATTCACATGAATGATTTTATTTTTTGAAAAGTTAGATCCAAGAATAAAGTTGAAATATTTTTTTTGCATCATCAGTTTTGAAAATCTGAATTTTGCATTGGACTTGAGTTTGAATAATGTCAAAAACGGTTTGGAAGGTTTGGGCAATTTCAATTTTCTATTTCGTTAGGAATACCCACATTCTTTTAGTGTGATTATCAATGAATGAGACAAACTATCTAGCTTCACTTCAGGTTCTTACTTTTGAAAGTCCTTAAATATCAATGTGGATAATATAAAAAGAGATGTGAGAATTTATATTTGGTCATTGGATAACTATTTCTAATTTTTTTGGCAAGTTGACAAATCACACATTGATGAGCACTAGATTTTTATTGAAAAATATAGAGAATACAACTTTGCAATATAATTGAAATTATGTTGACTCAAACGACAATGTCATGATATTAATAGTTTTTCAACGGTCATAGACTCAACAAACTTGGAGACTTGAGGAAAAAATGTAGGCGGGACCACTTATGTGTTTAGAAAGGCTTTCCCTGAGCAGGTATTAGTCTTGATACAATTCAACATGGTCTATCACCTTCCGTGAATCCACTGCTTGAAATTCAAAAGTGTTTGCAAGAAATTTAGTTATACATTTCATATCATGTATAAGCTTACTAATTGAAATTAAATTATAGTCTAACTTTGGGAAATATAAAATAGAGAAAATAGTAATATCCTGACGGAACTCTATATCTCATTTTCATGTATTTTTTTGGTGTGATCCATCTATAAGTCTGACAGTTGTAGATATAGAACTCTCTCGATAGTTGCCTTGATCATTGATGTCTTTGGTCACATTATCAGAATCTATTGAATCTATAATCTAAGGTCTATATTGGTGTGACATGAGGCTGGTGTGTTGTTCTGAATTACCCGCAAGGCGTTTTTTTTTGTATTTCGAGTTGTTTCTTGGTGAATGGTTCAGTTTACGCTTCAAGTGAGGTAACAAAATTAGTCTTGCTCTCTTGATTTTTCCTTTGATGTCCAGATTTCCAATATGCAGCCTTTCCATGGAGTTTCCTACATTTGTCTTTGAAGTCCCCAATTTTCTTGTAATAGTCTCATGTGGGATGATTCTTATTGAACCTTAATTCATGGGAAGAATTATGTTAAATACAGAGCTGAGCTTTCAACACTAGGAGAACTCTCATTTTTAGTCATCACAAGATTCTTTCTATTCTCTTCTCTTTTAACTTCAGCAAATGTTTATGGGTAGATGGAAGAGGTTTTATTCTCATGATCTTCATTCTCATTTCATCCAATTTCTTAGTTTGTCACACTAGGAGTTGGATTGTTCTCTTTTTCTCAATGATGGAATTATACATCACGCATCATGTGGATGTATGACTCAAACATATCCCATTAAATTCAATATTTTGTCAATATGTTGAAATATTGAATGACACGTAAGTCTTCCTGACGAAGATCATGTAGTTTGGTTTTAATCTCAAATAATTTTCAATATTCTCAGTGCTGGAATAAGTTTGTCTCGTAGCCTCCCAAATTTCTTTGGATGTTTTGTAGAGAAAGAAATTTTCTCCTACTTCATTAGTCATTGAGTAGCCTCACCAAGACACAACAAAATGGTTTTGAATCTTCAATGTGTGATGGTTAGGATTAGTGAGCTTAGGAACTGTGTCATTGAGGAACTGCTTTTCAACAAATGTGCATAAAAATGGGTTGGGATCTTTGAAGGAATTTTTGGCCGTTGAGTTTATGGTTTGTGATAGAGGTAGACAGGTCAGGGGTTGTTGCGATAGAATTCATGGTCTCTAAGTTAGAAATAACATCTGGAGTAGAATTAGACATCTTCATTTTGTATTTGGTCATAATCTCTATGCACATTTAGGGTTGGAAATGATTCATGGCTGCTGTTAGCTGCCGGTTTCCTAGTTGCTTCCTGCTGCAAGCTAGGAATCCAGCAACTTAACTGGCTACTGCTTGATTGGGAAGGAGTAGATGGGTCATCAGCGGGAAGGCTGGATAGCGAAGGGAAGAAGTTTGCTGGGAAGCCTGTAGGAGATCGAAAGCTGCAGGGAGCTGCTTGTGTGAGAAACATCACTGCCTGCGTGTGAAACATCAGGGAAGCGCACGACTGGATCGCTACCTAGCTGAGAAACAACGTGGAAATGCATAACGGGATCGCTGCTTGCATGACCTAATCACAAGGAGGATTCCTGCATGGAGAGGGAGCAGGAGCAGGATTCAGAGCTGGGGAGGGTCTGCAAGCTGGCCGGCAGAGGGAGAATTTTGGTGCTGGACAGTTGTTGGAGAGGCCGGCCATTGAAGGAAAGCTAAGGTTTGTTTCCTCTCTCTAATACCATGAAGAAAACATGAGGGGAATTCTTAGAATTCTTATTCAAAATCTTCAACTAAAATGTTACACACATAAGGAAATCGATCCATCCTAATTTACATTCTTTCCAAATATATCTAGCCTAAACATGGAAAGTAAATCATAAGGGGACCGATCCTCCTATAAATATAAATAGGAAGAGAATAAAACTAATGAAGGATTTTCTCAAACTATCTTCAATTGATAAGGGGCTCCTATAAATATAAATAGGAAGAGAATAAAACTAAACACTGATCCTCCTATATTTCTACACTTTTAAATTAGTTATATCTTTTAAAATCGAATGTGGACATTAGAACTCTTTGTAGCCACACCTTTTCCATGTATGATCATGTTTCGACTTTTAACTTGGTTCTTTTAGGTAAGTGAAAACTATAATATTCCTAATATTCTGTTAACTATAGTTCTAATGTCTCTTCTTTAGAATCTTGCTATGGTTTTTTTTTTAAAAAAAATTAGCAAAACGTTATTATATTTCCAAATATTTGATCCTTGGACAGGGGGAAGAATATAAATTATTTTGGCCAGATCAGCCTGAATTCGTGAGAATGGCTGCTCGGTTTGATGCCACTATTGTACCGTTTGGTGTTGTTGGAGAAGATGACATAGCAGAGGTAAGATTTTTGTTTTTGGCAACTTAAAATTTCCAAAATCATTTAACACAATACATTCAAGCTCTAAATTTGTAACCGTATTTCATTTCATTCTGAAAAAATAATTCTTAAATTATTTGTGACTATTTTTAAAAAATGTTTTTCCAATCTTTTGTGTTTACAGTGAAATTTTGAATACATCTTCATTTTCGTTAATACGATTCATTATACAGGTTGATGATTTCATGGGGTAATGGCATTTATTATTAATAAAAATTTACTGAAGAATTTTAAGGTTAGTTTTGTGATGGCATTGCTTTTGGTTCTCTTTCTTAAGTATCATGCCACGACGGATGTGTTCGGGTAAATGCACAATGGAAAGGTAAACCAATGAATAAATAACAGAGCAATTTATCCATTCTATAATAGTGGTGATTTTATCTTATTTTTTCCTATAGAGTAGTGTGACACAACACACCACGATATTACCAAACGATTATTACTTCAGAAAAATAAAAATGAAGGTCACGGCCAGCTTTATTCAAGAAAAAAATAATTACAAATGAATCAACCATAGACTTGAAGAAAATAAAAATACTATTGAGATCCTTGAAATAGAAAAGACCACAAGGTCCTACAAAAACAGCAATCTCTAGCCAAAGATAACTCAAAGCAGCCATTCTAAAGCCCAAAGAAGAAAGTCTATGTGAACATCTGCAGCTCAGAAGACAGAAATAAATTATTCAATGTGAAGAACCATATTAGAGTAGTCCATCCTCCAGAAAGAGAGGAAGTCCAGTAAAAAGAATATATAATCTCTGCAAGTAGAAAAATCCATAAAGACTAAAAAATGAGAAGAGAACTAGCTCAAGAAATCCACCCGAAACAAACATGAGGACTCCATCCGGGTAATATGAAAAAGTCATAAAACATAATAATTTTTTACAACGGTTGACGCACCATGCCACCTCTGGAAATCATCATAGCTTAAAATAAAGTATGGTATCTGTGAACTACCTCTTCAATGATCTTTAAATGTGATATCTATCTAGAAGATGCAATAGAAAAGTAGTATATAAAAAAAGGAACACCAATTCCATTCCAGCAAAAGATTTCTGATCCATTAGCTAACTACCAAAAAAAGTAACAGAAGAAAAGTGATGAATAGAGAATCAAATATCCCAATTCCAATATACAGACTTGAAAAATTTTATCTTATAAAGAGCACAAATTGTACTCGGAGCATTCTTTTTGAATTTCCATCTCCTTTTTTTTTTGCTTTATAATCCAATGTATATTCTTAATAAAAGCATCAAGGGGAACAAAATAATTATTAAAAACTCTATTATTCCTCTCAATCCAAATGTAACAAGCCGTAGTTTGAACAATCACCAAGTAAAATGTTTTGTAAATTTTGCATAAGAACGTATCGGAACGATAAAAAACCTGAATCATATTACTGGTCACCATGAAAAAAATACCACTTGTAATGCATTTTCTTGGCAAATTATGAGAGAAAGGGTAATAAAAAAATATATGGCTATGAGATTCTAGTCTCTGGAGACGAAGAACACATTTGGTATCAAACATAATACCGCTCGAATTGAGTACATCACAGTTTTTTAATCCATTTCGAAATATTTTTCAAGAATGCAATGCTAATTTGATAGAAAACCCCTTGAACCATACAATCATGTTCCAATCACAATAAAGAAAATTGTCATGCACAAAGTTATAATTAACTTCATTCGGAAAGTGATTTAAACACTTCCAACAACATCAGATAGAATTATCAACTATTGGAATATTCAAAATCAGTTGAAAACAATACTTTGGGACTAAAGAATGATTATCAAAGAACCATTTATCATTAGACAAGATCAGATAACTTCTTATGCTTAGGAAAGCCAAACCAACCAAAAATAGGTTTTCCAATTTTTTCATAAAGAGAAAAATCATTCAAACAAAGGTCAAAATAGAAAAACAGATTACTGTTGTGAGTCACTTGGAATGATAAAGTACTCCTCATTCTAGTAGCCACATTAGTAAGGCCTTTCCAAAAAATAGATATACCATACCTAGCTCTAAACTAGATAGAGCCATAATGAACATCACACCAATTGGTTAAATACGAATCAGAATTGTAATGCCTCCAAATTTGCTTAAACTTACACATAGTATTATGTTGTCTAAAAATGGTTTCCAGGCCGCTTTTTTCTTCATTCCATTATGATATAAAAAATTATTAATCGCATATTAAAATTTTCTTCCTAAGACTTTTCGGAAGAGTGATAGAATGACACCAATTATAAAGATAACTCCAACAGTAGTTCTAATTAATTGAAATTTACCAACATTAAAAAAAGAACTTTTTTTTCAGCCAGCCAACCAAGTGTGAAGGTTATCAATAAGCTTATGACAATCAGCCACAAGTAGTTTAGATGATTTAATAGTAACTCCCAAATAGTCCCAAGGCAAAGGCTTCAAAATAAAACCACTCACATCACAGATTTGCTGCTACATATAAGGATTAACAAAAAAATAAATTGATGATTTAGAAGCATTAGCACAATAATTTCAAGCTAGGTTGAAGGCTTCTAAAATGCTAGATAAATGTTGAATAGTGTCAATGTCAACTTTTCTAAAGATTAGAAAATAATCTACATAACTGAGATGAACAAAATCTTCACCGTCATGCAATCTACCATGATTGCTAAAACCAGCATCATGTGTATATAACATAGAAGAAAGAGTACCATGACAATAGAAAAAAGTCCTGAGATAAAGGACATCCCTATCTTAATCCTGAAGAAGAAGAAAATACTTTTAATTTTATTGTTAATAAGGACAGAGAAATTAATCTCAGTTGTACAAGCTTGAATCCAATGAATACAGGTAGGAGGAAATTCCAAGCGAACCATCCTATCATCGAGGAAAAATCTATTTGCTTTATTAAAAGACTTCGTCAAATCAATTTTAGAACATAATTTTTAGCATATAACCTCTAGGATTAAATTCATGAAGAAGTTCATTAGTCATAATGATATTATCAGCAATATTACTTTTTCTTATGAAGACTGCATTAGTAGGATGGATGATATTAGGAAGCATAAGTTGGAGACGTTCAACCAAAAGCTTGAAAATGACCTTATAAATGGTATTATAAATTGAAATTGATTTAAAATCAATAATTGACTTAGCACCTGATTTCTTGGGAAGAATGGTAATGGTTAAATATTTAAGCCTATGATGGAGTTTAATTGTATTTAAAAAAAATACTTCGCATCCTCAATACTAGCCTTCCTTATAGCATATCAAGTATCTTTAAAGAACTTCGAGCTACTACCATCTGGATCAGGAGATTTGTTAGACCCAATAGAAAAGAAAGCATGCTTAATATCAGAATCAGGGAAATCATGAATGAGAGCAGCAGTAGAAATTAAAAAGAAAAACTTTTCCTAAGAGATAGAAGATCGACAATACCTCTAAGCTTCTAGATCTTGTTTATAGAATGAAGAAGATGCTGTAGAAGGGTTATTTACCCTGCGCGTAGCCCACTAAAGCAAGATTTCACCTCTTAGATCCTTCTTCAATCTCCAGATCTGTAAAAGAGGCTTTATCCTCTACACAAGATTTGTAAAAGAGATTAAAGTTGATTAAAGTTTGAAGAATTAGGAAGATTAGAAGATATCAATCCTTTCCAATTAATGGAAGGACCCGGCCCGAGCAGAGAACAAGAAGAAGTGGAAAAGTGGAGAGGAGAAAAAGATGAGAAATCCATAATAGGCTAAGGGGCAAAGCCCTTGATCCAAATGAGAATGCCAAATGGCAATAAGAAGGATGACGGCTAGCGGGCAGGAGAAAAAGATGAGGAATCCATAATAGGCTAAGGGGCAAAGCCCTTGATCCAAATGAGAATGCCAGATGGCAATAAGAAGGTTGACGGCTAGCGTTTCGCCCAAAAGAAAAGAAGGGGGAAAGATAGGAACCCGAAAATCCTATCAAAGCTCAAAGGAATAACCCTTGGAATTTTTCTCTGCGGTTATAGTACGTGCAGATCCTCCTATATATGTTTCCATCATATCTTTTCCTAACTTTAACTCATCTAACTTTAGCTGCTCCAGCTAGATTTTGCTTCTATATTTATCCCACTGAGCGTGAAGCTTTTAATGAGTCAGTTTTTTAATTTTTTTAACAAATTTTGGCATATATCTACTTAAATGCTTATTTTATTCCTATGAACATGATTTGGTATTTTTATGAAAGTGGCTTTTCTTTAGTCGTCTTAGATAGTTTGGTCACATTAAATGTCGACCATTTGATGATCCGATTAGGAGAGTAGATGTTTTAGATTCGACTCGTATTAAGAAAGGCAGAGGTAGACCTAGAAAAACTTGGGCTTATTGTATAAAAAATGATCTTAATTTACTAGAATTAAATGAAAATATGACACTAAATAGGACACGATGGAGAAAAAGGATTCATGTAGCCGACCCCACATAGTGGGATTAAGGCTTTGTTGTTGTTGGTGGCCTTTCATCAGTTACAATATGCATTGTCTTGAATTTTTCACAGATCCCCTGCATTTTTACATAATTTCTTGGTTTATTAGGTGATGCATTTTGGCTGAATTGCAATTTGTTGCATTTTGCAAAATGGCTCGAGGTTTTATTTGCAATCAATTTACTAGATTAGATGTTTAGATATACTGATCTATTATTACATTGCACTCTGCATTGTGTTTCCATTAGCCTGTTTTATTTTAGGGGCTTTTACTAACATACCAAGTATTTGCATATCTAGCACTTAAACGGTCATTTTTACACACATCCCGCTCAAATCTTTAACATCACATCTAAATTACCATCATCATTATCTTTTTAAAAGTGGAATACACCTTTTCATACATAGATTTATGACACCAATGTGTTTAACCGTAACAATCAAACTTTGGGTGTTACATACATAAATACACAAGGATTGTGTGGTATATAAGTAAATTCCCCTTATTTTATTTGTATTTTATTTATATTCGAGCTTCCTATTGCAGTTGGTTCTCGACTACAATGATCAAACAAAAATCCCCTTTATCAGAAAACAAATAGAAGAGATCAATCAACATACTGTGAGAATAAGGTAATGATCATTCATAGCAAAAAGATCCATTAAATTCTCTAATATTGCATAATGAGACCAAAATTGTAAATTTTTATAGGGCTGATAAGAGCGGTGAAGTTTCTGACCAGGAGCTCTACTTACCCGGACTCGTGCCGAAGGTGCCGGGACGCTTTTATTTTCTGTTTGGCAAGCCCATAGAGACAAGAGAAATGAAGAGTGTTCTGAGGGATAGGGAGGGTGCAAATAAGCTGTATTTGCAGATCAAATCTGAGATCGAGAACTTGATTTCATATTTGAAGATGAAGAGGGAGGAGGATCCGTATAGGAGTATATTCAGTCGGGCAATTTATCAAGCATCTTGGGGTGTAGAATCTGCTCCCACTTTTGAACTGTGAATTACTTGCTCTACGATTCAAGCAAAAGAGTAAACGCCCATTTTAGGTCCTGGGAATTATCATTTATGTTTTGTTTAGATGTTTACTTTATGAAATAAATTTTTTAGTACTTTTTATAAAGGATTTTTATAATTATTAGTTTCTAATCCAACTTGTTAAAAAAACATAAATGATAACAGTAATTTTTCCAAAATGAAATAGATATTTTCAAACATGTTTCTATGAGACAAAT